GGCAGCTCAGAGAGGCCCTTGCCCCGGCACAGCTTGCCCTTTAGGGTTTAGGGTTTAGGGTTTAGGGTTTAGGGCCAACCTGGTCTTTTTTCTGCAGCAGGGAGGCCACTATGGGTCTGCGCAATGCCACAAGCCAAGCCTATCAAACCTGAGCCCTAAACCCGAAAATGCTTCTGGAGCCAGATTGGGGTTACGAAATGTCTCATTGCGCGGTTGAGGGTCCAGAAAACTCCAGAAACTTCCGGCTACAGTTCCTCGTAACCTGCCACGCGAGGGCTGTAAAGAGGCCAACGGTGTTGAGAGCTCATCGACCGCTTGCAACCCCACCGCTTTTTTTGACTCAGGGGCAACACAAAACTTGCAGAAGATGCGGCTGCTTTTTGCGCCGTGCTGGTGCATGACCATGGACAACGGACAGAAGTTAAGCACCTAAGATGTTGCAGAAGACCCGAGCATTCTAGACTGTAGACGTTGACGGAGGGCTGTGTAGCACTGAACGCAGATGTGGCTTGCTGCTCACCCTTGCTCAGGCAACATTTCTTTCACGACTTCAAGTCAGGCGCTGACCTGGAATGGAAGGAGAACGGGGGTTTAGGGTTTAGGGATCAGGGTTTAGGGTTTAGGGTTTTGGCGGTGCGTTTCGGAACCAAGGGGTAGATAAGTTGGGATGTTCCCCTTGTACTAACAGTCCTTAACAGGGATTATGCTAGGGGGTACCATAGTCCCTATTAAGGACTGTTAGTATAAGGGGGAACATCCCAAAATATCATTGCCAAAAAACAGGTTTCGTTCATTAACCCTATTAAGAACTGTGGCAGGTTTCGTTCATTAACCCTATTAAGAACTGTGGGAACATCCCAGGTTGGGACTGGCAACTGTGGCTCCATGTTAGCAGTGGCTGTCGTCGTGGGCTTGTGCTTGTTACTTCCGTAGGAAGGTGAACTCTGCAGTTGTACCTTATCCCGGCAGGACAACCGCTTCCTCGAAGCTGTGAAGAGCTCCTGAGCCGGGTTTAGCATTTTCTAGGTGCTTGAAGGTTCATGGGGACTTATGAGGAGGGTTCCAAGTACCCTAAAGAAGGTTATAACTCTGCCTGTGAGGTTATAGCTATGGTTTCCCTACTGAAAACCCTCTCTAGAAGTTCTCATGAACCTCCAAGTGTCTAGCCTTTCGACATCGGGCCTAACGCCTAGGCGAACTGGACCTGGAAGCCTTTCAACTCGAGCCCCCACAAAGCTGAAGACCCAAAATGTACGCACAAATGCCCCTAAACCCTAAACCCTGAACCCTAAACCCTGATCCCTGAACCCTAAAACCCTAAACCCTGAACCCTGATCCCTGAACCCTGAAACCCTAAACCCTGAACCCTGAACCCTGAACCCTAAACCCTAAACCCTGAACCCTGAACCCTAAAACCCTAAACCCTGAACCCTGAACCCTAAACCCTAAACCCTGAACCCTGAACCCTAAACCCTGAACCCTAAACCCTAAACCCTAAACCCTGAACCCTAAAACCCCTGACACCTTACTTGCGCCTACGGATCTCGACCCGGGGCCCCTGCCTAGGCTTTTGTGACATGATCGGGAGTGACAGCGCCAACTACGTCGCTGCGGCCTCGGTGAGTTTCTTATTCTTATGGGTCTTTTTTTGGCTACTTTGGATGTTATTTTCGATGGTTGCCGAGTATTATTGCGATTTTCCTACTCTTAGTCTGAAAAGTGGCTGCCAGTACGATTACTGCTGTTATGACTGCTACTGTTACTGTTATATTCTTGCTACTTTTTGTACTCTTTCCATTATTGCTGCCATTATTTGTGTTTTGTGTTTGCCTCTTGTGCAAGCTGGTGTGTTTCAGGGCGTGAAGGGCTTAAAAGGTGCGGAGTCGATGACCATCCCCACGCCTACATGAAACAGGGTTTATATTACTGTTTTTGGTGGGTGTGTATAAGGTTCCTTTTTAATCTTGGTGCGTGTATATGCCTGGTGACCTTTTGGGGGGGTACAAGAAATACATACCCTACTGCGTGTATGTAATCATGTAGAATCGATATTATATAGGTAAATACGAATATACTACAACTACCAAAGTAAAAAAATGAATAAATATAAATATAAATAAATAAATAAATAAATATATATATATATATATATATATCGCTAGAAATATACACAAAATACATATAAGATGAATATAAGGATGAACATAACTATGAATATACATATACATAAAGAGATAACGAAAGAAAACAGTTAACAAATAAATGAAAATTGCATATATATATACACACATTTGTATCTGTATGTGTATATATATATAGATTTATATTTATTTTTATTTTTATATGCGTTTATCTATTTATAAGACTCGTACAGAGTGCAACTGCGCAGGAGCCGTCGACCAAGGCTGCGCTCCCGAAGAGCCCGTGCCTAAAACATTGCAGGGGGGGGATAATTGGACTGGTTTGGGGTTTAGGGTTGAGGGTTTAGGGTTTAGGGTTTAGGGAAGATTCCCCAAGCCGGGATAAGCTTAGATGGGCAGTTCTCTCAATTAGGATCCCCCTATACAGTACGGCACCCCGAAATACCGCAAAAATGGCCAAAAAGGGGCCTTCATTTAGAGAACTACCCAGATATCTGAGGCATCACCAAGTCTCTTGCAAGGAGCCTCAGCGGAAGGCGCAGCGTGGCGCGACGTTGATTGACCGGTTCAGGTTTCAACGAGATCTGGTTCACGATGCCTAGGTGCCACACGCACACGGCTTTCTCAAGTTAGAAGCTAAAGCGATGTACCTGAGCGCTTCGACTGCTGTCATGGATCACTCTCCGGCTTGTTGTCGCAACCTACACCCTGAAGCTCCTGGGTTTTACGCATCTGCATGGACGTCGCCGCAAAGAGGAAGAAGATGAGCACCGACCGTACTATGACCTTACTATGACCATAGCTCATGATGCCATGGTCGTGAAATCTTGAACTTTAGATGGCTGAGAACGCAACACACATGGAGTCAAGCAAGCATGTTGAATCCATTCTCGACTTACAGCGTGGGCAGGTTTCGCACAGCAAGTCCGGCGCCGGCAGACGAGGAGTTCGAAGAGTTTTGGTTTGCGGTGAGATAAAAATTCAACCCTAGGCTTTCTGAACCCTACACCCGAACCCGTATTGGAGCTAGGAGCCTCGGAAACCACTGCCATGCTCTTGGCTGCGTGCAAGCATATAAAACAATGAAAAAGGAACATAGAATAGTAGGTTTCTTTTTTCAATAGAATACATAACATACGAATATAGCAATGTAACCATACAACCAAATGAGAGCATCATAGTATTATAGTATGCTAACATAATAATATGTAGCAAAATGTTAGTGCAAGAACATATGTTCTGACAATGCCTTCATGTATATATACATATGTATATATATATATATATGACAATCTAATGTAGTATAATCGTAGTATATTCACATACCACGTTATACGAATATATTACTATATTAATGTAGCAGTAGATAATGTATGCTACTTTTTTACGTATCATGTCAGAACCAAAATAAGAATATTACAATATAAGAACAACAAGATGTAATATTGGAATAGTGGGGCAAGAAGATTTTGTGATAGGTAGTCCACGGCGCCCGACGCATTTTAGTGAATTTGTTGCGTCACCCCCCCCCCCCCCAATTACGCGGATTTTTTTCCGGGTCCTAAAGGCTTGAGGCCTTGAGGGTTCCCCCTCAAATTTGTTGGGGCGGGGAGGGGGGGGGGTCTACCTACCAAAAGCAGTGCAACACTATTACAATAATGTATAAACATACTAAAAGGTATCAGAAAGTGACGGAATATTTTCACAGAATGCCCAATGGCCGCTCAATTCCCAAAGCCCAGTGCCGTGGAGGACAGTCGGCGAAGCCCAACTGGAACCACCTGGCATGACACTTGAATGCATCCGTTGCTTGTCATTGTAGAAGTTGTGATTCGTGGCGGTCGTAGCTGTCTTAGGCAAATTTTGATCATCGTTCCAATGACGAGGGTGCATGATCAGCTTGGATGTCGAACTCCTTATCGATGAAGTACTCCGAAGCACTTCGAAACTGTGAGCGGGTTCGGGCCGTACATCGTTTGTGATGAAGCAGCACAAGTTCAAATGGTGAATACGGTCACTGCAAAACCCTACACGGGACACAAATAAGGTGGCGCCAGTGTGCAAAGCTAGTCTAATTGGGGCTGCACTCATCAAAGTCCCTCCCTCGACATCCGAGGACCTTCCTGCGCTCGGCTTGGTGTCGCACACATCAAAGGACGTGTTACCGCAGCGGTTGGGCAGGGACTCACATCAGACGCCAGGAACAATGCAACATGCATAAAATTATTGTTTGTATTACATTACAATAGTATATTATATTTCCAGATGATTAGCTTAGTATATTAGTATATTGTTCTATATGGTTGTATGAACATGTCGCTATATGATTATATGAATGTACTATATAGTTTGTTTAACATAGTAATGTGTGATTGTGATGTTATATCCTATACTAATGATATAATAACATAAAATATTCAGAAATTCTTATATTACTAATACTACAAGATTTTTTGTTGATAGTATATGTTTGTATTCGTATATTGTTAAAGAATAACATTCATACATTCCTGTCTTTCGAGATTGTTATTTTAGTATATGATCATATCATTACAGCTGCCTCGTGTGCCGCCTCGGCAGGACATTAGAACCGACGATGCGGAGCTTGACATGTTCTTGCACTGCACCGGGGCGGGGTACCACAGCTGGGCCGTGAACCAGCGTCCATCTGATCAAGCTACGGTTTAGGGTAGTCTAGGGTTTAAGGTTTAGGGTTTAGGGTTTAGGGTTTAACGTTTAGGGTTTAGGGTTTAGGGTTTAGGGCTCTGTAGGTGGTTGCGGGGTTGGGGGAGGGAGTGGAACATGTTTGCCGCCGCCCGCCCCAGCTTGGGAGCGTTTTGGGCTCCAGGCTATTGAAAGATGTGGAAGGCTGGGAAGGGGGGCCTTAAGGGACGTTCTCATGGCAGGGGCCGGGCCGAGGGGGAGACCACTGTCGTGTTGACAGGTCTGCCAAAGACTCTAAACGCAGAGATTTTGCTGGATTTGCTGGACAAGGAGTTCCCCTGCTGCTATGACTTCTTTTACCTTCCCATGTATCTGGATCAGCTTGAAAACACTGGATTAGCATATATAAATTTTCGTGACCATGAGAAGGCCTTGGAGTGCCAGCACTACTTCGAAGGTAGTATTAACTGGGGTGGGCACATCTCCGACCGCCCCTGCAAAGCGCAGTGGTCTTCTATCCAGGGCTATGAGGCAAACATTACGCGACACCGAAAAGCGGCGTGGAATGACAAGAACCTTCCTGAGGATTGCAAGCCCATGGCTTTCGACGAGCAAGGTAGGCGGCTGCCCCCTCAGGAGGTTTTCACACCTTTACATGCCCAAGACTCCGGCAAAGGCGGCAAAGTTGGTAGGTACCGGAAGCCGGGAAAAAGCAAGTCGTGGGAAGACGAGTGGTATGGCGCCAGTAAGTCACATCCTCAGAAGGGCGGCAACTGGCCCGGCTGGTACACTGACCACAACATTGCCAACGAGTCGAACCTGGCCAACGAGTCGCGCCAGAGCGACACTGGCTATGCTGGGGCTGCCTTTGAGCCTTTTGATGATGGCACCGGCTGGATTCAAGCGGACTGGCATGCAATGGGAATGATGATGACCGCCGAAGAACTTCAAGAAGGGGATGAATCATGGGGCAATCCGAATGAAGGAAGTATGGAAGTCTCCGCGCTTGACCTGTATTTGGCCGGTATTGACAGGTGCTCCGACGAGGAAGGCGCCGGCCTGGCGAGCCCGAGCCCGACCTGGGCGCCGCCATATTCCTCGCAGGAATCTGCCGACTGGAAAATTCCAGAGACATTTCGGGGAGAGCCCTTGAATGATGAGGATTTTTCTAACACGCTTAAAGTTGACCCTTTCCGTCAGAAGACTCTGCCCAACCCGTTGATTCCGGAACTTCCCGCGATCGAGCATTTGCAGGCCTTGAATATCTTGAATCAGGAAGCTGCATCTGCGAGCCCGCATGGAAGTCCGCACATGTCCCCCGCCTCAAGTGCCTCAGAGCCGGGACAGCTCCACCTTGGCAAGTATGGCAAGTATGCCTGCCCAAACTGCAAACTGACCTTCGCCAAGTGGTCCGCATGCCAGCATCATCTCGTGACCGAAATGAACTGCTGGTGCGTGCTAGAGGAGGGCCGGCTGCCCTCCGATGTGACTGAGCTACAGGGCACATGCAAAGCTGCTGCAGAGCAGGCCAGGGGCTCCCAAAAAGAGCTCCCAAAAGACTCCAAAGACTCCAACTCCAGCGAGGCCTTCTTCGATGAGGCCATCCAGGAGAAAGTCCTCCGCTTTCAGTAGCGCCCATGGCAAGATGCCAAGTGGGAGAATTCGGACAATGCTGTGGCGCAGAGTTCACGCTCTTGAAAGACAAAAAAGAGCCCACCCGACTGGTTGCTGCCCCCATGTCCCAGTCGGTTTGTCTAACTGGGCCTAACGCTTCAAAAGCCCTCAAGAATAGGAGATGGCATGGCCAGGCGATCCTCAAGCAGTCCTCAAACTATAGACTCCAGTCGGAGACGGGATGACACGATGAGCTCCGAAAGACGAACCGAGGGTCCCAAGTTGTTCCTCCCCATAGGTTTAGGGTTTAGGGATTGAGGCATAGCACTTGGTGCAAGGTCTGCTGAACCTTGAGCGCATCTGCATTGCAGAGTTGTAAACCTTCATTCGACCTCAACCTTCGACCGAACCGGCGTGACACTCCGAAACAGAAGCCTGCCAATAAGAGACCTTAGAGGAGAACAGAGGAACCTGTCATAACCTGTCTGTGTGGCTAATGAGTATGGCGCAGTATGGAAGATTTGTTCGTTTCTTGTGTGTCGGACTGTGTATGAGCAGCCCATAGCTCCTCTGTATTTTTGAGGAAGCCTTTACAATATACTTCATGTAACAATCTAATATCATCAATATGATAGAATGAACTATAATGTCACAATATAATAACATTGTCATATAGTAGAAAAGCCGTATAAACATACGACATTGATATATATATATATATATATTTATTTATATTTATATTTATATTTATATATTCATATGTAATGTACTAACAACAACTACGAAGAGACAGTGATCTCATTTGTGGGATTGACCAGTTCGAGGGTTTGGGGCTAAAAAGCAGACAAGTTGAAGAGCTTTGTCTCGGTCAAGGCGCGGCATGTGACCGAAGCATGTTCCTGCGCTAACCCTAAACCCTAAACCCTAAACCCTAAACCCTAAACCCTAAACCCTAAACCCTAAACCCTAAACCCTAAACCCTAAACTCTTGTCGGCCCAGGCAATGTACTTCGATGCACGCCTCCATATGCAGAGAGCGGTTCTACCCTCAGAGGCATCATCGAGGTGCATCAAAAGGCAAGCAGAAAACCGAAAATGTCGGTTTGGGGTCCCTAAACCCTAAACCCTAAACCCTAAACCCTAAACCCTAAACCCTAAACCCTAAACCCTAAACCCTAAACCCCTTTGCATCCAGACGTTCGTTGAGCGTCGTGATGGCTCTTAGCGATGCAGCATCATCACAAGAACACTTCTGAGGATGGCAATGCTTTGGTACAACGCGCAACGAGAGTGCGCCAACACTGTGTCCAAAGAGGGTTTAGGGTTTAGGGGTTAGGGTTTAGGGTTTAGGGTTCCGGCGTCGGACATACGCATAATGTATCCATGAATGACCTGAGAAGGACCCCAGGAATAGTTGCGTCTGGTTTGAGCGCCAGGTATTCCAGATGGGAGACTTTTATCTGGTGCGACGGGCTCTTAGTTATGCAGCTGGTCATGCGGCAGCTGCTGGTCTAGCTGGTAGTTTCCCGCCACCAGGCTTGAAAACAAAAGGGTTTCCGAGAGAATAAGATCAGCCGTGCAGCACATCAGGCTTGAAGCTTCCATGTGCAGTCTCGAAGTACGAGCTCTGCTTCCACATGGCCACAGCGCAACGCAAGGGACTTGGTGCTGAAGCTCTGAGAGCATCAGGGTATTTGGTCTCGAAGCACGCCCCAGCTCAGGACCCGATGAGCTGATAGAGCACCCTTTCAGGCAAGCAGCTCAGACTCAGACTGCTCGCGTCGAACAGGAGCAAGCATGATCCCTACATGGCTTCCGCAGCACTCGAGGTACACGATCAAGACATCGGAGCCTGTCACTCAGTGATGCCATGGTGTGTCTACCAAGCCGTAAAACATAATGTATATACATTTATGTATGTACATAATATATATATATATATATGTATTCATTCATATGAACAATTTATAATGTATAATGTTATGTAACATATATATATATATATACATACATGTAGGGTGTGTATATATAGATATGTATATGTATGTATGTGCAAATGATGTATATACAACGTATATAATATATAGATATATACATACGTGTATATGTATATAAGGTGTGTGTATATATATATAATGTATATAGGAATTATATAATGTGTATATCATGTATATAATGTATACATAATGGGTATTTACAATATATAGAATATGAATATATATATATATATGTATATGTATGTATGTATGTATGTGTATGTATGTGTATGTATGTATGTATGTATGTATGTATGTATGTATGTATGTATGTATGTATGTATGTATGTATGTCTATATATATATACACATACATGCATATTCTATCGAGAGCTGCTGCATCGACTTGTTGCACTGTTCATGGACATTTTCTCCGACTGGGAGTTGCGCTTGAGGTCGGCCCCTTGTCCTCTCAGCTCTGTGGAGAACGCAGCTTACCACCGCTTTGGGGTCTGCCCCATGTAGCCACCTCAGGGCACAAATCACCAACTGGGGGTTTCGGACAAATAGGGGTACCCGTTTTGTGGATTCCCTTTGGGGACTCTGTTCTATTTGGGGTAAACAAGGGGTACCCATATTTTGGGAAATGGCCAAATGAGCGGCGCAGTTTTGGTACAGAACGGTGACGCAGTGACGTGCAGCACGGATCCGGAAGCATGCGGAAGCACCCGGCGGTCCGCACGATGCACGAAGCGCGGTACTTTCCTGTTGGCACAGAAGACCCTAAACCCTAAACCCTAAACCCTAAACCCTAAACCCTAAACCCTAAACCCTAAACCCTAAACCCTAAACCCTAAACCCTAAACCCTAAACCCTAAACCCTAAACCTGCATGTCGAGAGCCCGGAAGCGCTTAAGGCCAGCCATTGCGCAGTCTTTCGGCATGACCATCTGCTCGCCCATCGACTATGCAGTGCTACCCGGCAGTGTGCCAGTTGCTCAGAGGCTCTGAGAATGGGGTTTAGGGTTTAGGGTTTAGGGTTTAGGGTTTAGGGTGTAGGGTTCCGGGTTTCAGGGTTCAGGGTTCAGGGTTCAGGGTTTACGCTTGGTAGCCCAGTGGTACCCTGTACCCTTCCTTTTGGGGGTATGGGTTCCCTTATAAAATAACCAACCTTAAAAAGGGGTGCCCTTCTTATAATATGGTTACTGGGGCACCCAGGAATTTGACATTACATCCATGTTATGGAACTGCGCATGAGAGCAATCTCCACCGGCCACCCCAACGCAAGAACCCAAAGGCTGGAAGCTGCCCGTAAATCCCAAAAAGCAGCTGGGTTAAGGGTTTAGGGTTTAGGGTTTAGGGTGCGAGTCTTCCTTTACCAAACTCTTCAGGCGGTTCATAGAGCTGAGTAGAGCTGTACGGACGACTCTCCGAGGTACTTCCTGGTCCACCTCCGCCCCGGCTTCATGCGCTCCGAGGCACGTCGTGGACGCCAAAGTTCAGTGCAGCGCGGGACTCGCACTGTCAAGTCCGATACTGCGTTAGCGGAATCGGAATTCCTTTGACCCCAGTATGGGAGGCTTGTTCTTTTTGGCGGGTTCTTGTGAGATACTAGGAGGTCGATTAGCGAAAAAATTGGTCGTGATAAAACGTGCAGACCTCTCGAGCGTGCGCAAGCTCGCGCAAGGGCGAACGCAAGCTCTGCGCAAGCTCTGAAGGCGAACAAGACGCGAGCATTTGAGCTTCCAGGCCAAGAAGTTACCGAACCGCGAAAACTCGCGCGCGCAAGCCCGCGCAAGGGACGCGCAAGGGCGAAGCGCAAGGGATCCAAATTGCCATGCGGCAGCCGTGGAACAAGGATATAGAACAACCCTCATGTGAGTGTCATGCAAAACCCTAAACTTCCCAAAGCCTAAACCCTAAACCCCATATCAGCTGTATCCACAAGCTGGGGAGAAACATCTTGCGGAGCGTCGAACCTAGGGTCTAAAAGACATGTTTTTTCTGGCATCCCAGGCCCAGGGTTCAGGGTTTAGGGTTTAGGGTTTAGGGTTTAGGGTTTAGGGTTTAGGGTTTAGGGTTTGGATATGTCTTCGGCCACAAGGGGTCGAGTCCTTCGACCCACCCTCAGGTCTACAAACCAATCTGCACCCATGTCCACAGCAAGATGGTGACTTAGCGACCTTATCTAGGGCAATGGATACATCGAGAAGGTATGAATCTCAAAACCACCTCTTTTCGAGGCAGCTTCTGGGGTGTTGCCGTACCCAAGAGCACTCTTTTGCAGCCCTTCTCTCCGCAACCCTAAGCCCGAAATTGTGCATCTTGAGTTCCATATAGGGGAGTGGGATGCCTAGGGTTTAGGGTTTAGGGTTTAGGGTTTAGGGTTTAGGGTTTAGGGTTTAGAGTTTCGGGTTTAGGGTTTAGGGTTTCCCCCCGGCCAGGCTGTATTGGAGCCCACTGGAGAGACTCCCTCGTCACTTTTGTTCCGGCGCTTAAGGGCGGATGACGAGGCTGCCTGGCCCTAAGTGCCTGGCAGCACAGCAAGAACAAACCTGACCCGCCGCGACTCTGCAGTCGTTGAACCCTAAACCCTAAACCCTAAACCCTAAACCCTAAACCCTAAACCCTAAACCCTAAACCCTAAATCCTACAACATTCCTCATGATCCGTCTCAGCTCGGACACCTCCACCCCCTGAGCTGAAGTCGCGGCCTAAGGCAGAGGATGAGGCGCTAAAGAATGAGACCATGCAAAAATCAGGCGCACGGGCTTTAGGGTTTAGGGTTGATCAGGGTTTATTAGGGTTTAGGGTTTAGGGTTTAAACACGTTCGAAGTTTCACATGGGAGTTTACGCAGCTAAGGGACCCCCAATATAGACCCCAAATCCCTATCAGCAATTTAAACAGAGTTGGGTCGTGGGAGCATTTAAAGATGCGGATTAGACGGGTACATTCTGAAAGGTTCTAGCTTGGCTTGGGACGCGTTGCCGGAGGTTTACATGTTTAAGTTGCGCCAATTGAGCCTTGCTTAAATTAAAACACGATGGCCGAGGTTTAAATCTGGCTTAAGGCACGGTCAAACCGTGAGAACGGCTTACACCTGGCTGTAATTCATATCTATGACAACCGAAGCAATGCTGATATGACTACATGATGAATAAATAACACATGACAGTTGGTGACACAAATGTTTTAAGCAGTTTACACCTGGCTTTGGACAGCTTACCGGAGGTGTCTGAGGTGTATGGCTTGCGTCTTTGCAACGGCAAGAAGGCTACTCTCTGGACTAGTTCAATGATGGTGTGTCTTTGAGAGGCAGGTTTAGGAGGCGCAGCTTGTGTTTGACATCGCGAGCGTTGGAAGAAATGGTTCCCAGGGCTGGCGTAAGTTTCGAGAGGGTTGGGAGCGAAGATGGACTGCTGTGACATAGCCAAATGTTTAAGCCTGTGCGCGTCGTAAGACTTGATTGTCCACACCGTGAATAAGTTCAACCATGCTGACACCGTTTCTTAGCTGTGTTAACAGTCTCAGCCGCAGCAGGGCTGTGTTTGTGCAAGCATTGTGTGTTTACACGCCGCAAATGATGTAAGCCGTTTGAACTACTCAAACCTCGTCCAACCCTGCGCAGGCTGACTGATACTGCTACTGTAGCAGCTGTCAGCTGTCTGAGCAAAAGACAAGTACCATGTTTAATCGCAGGCATGAGTGATTTTCTTTAAAACCCGTCTGAATTCGCGCATCACCAACCCTCCAGGATCATGCCGCCCCCGACCTATATCCCGACCTGGAACACGTCCTTCCATTCGGCACTTGCATTGCAAGCGAACTCACCAAAATGCACGAAGCCCTTGGCGCATCGTGCCAGACCCCTTCTTTGCGGACGACAGCCTGGATCGGTCTGCGCTGGGTACTGAGCTAAAGTTGCCTTCTGCGACCTGAGCTCAAAGTTGCCGCAAGCCCATGTAGGAGGCACATTCACACCACAGCTGCTTCAGCATTGCGTTGAACCCATGGCCACCTCTCTATGCTACGGTCCTGTTTTGGGTTCGTGTCCAAATATAAGGGGCTGCCTTACAATTGTAACATTGAATAATATCCCTAAACCCTAAACCCTAAACCCCAAAACGGGACCATGATTTGGAGAACTGACCGCACGAGGTGCTTGACAGAGCTGGTGCACAGGAGCGAGTGAGAAGCTGGGGGCGTTCAAAAGCTCGGCGGATGATGGATGGCTGCAGATCAAAATCATATACGTGTTCATATTTATATATGTGTACTATATACATCTTTCATATATATATATATGTATATATATATATATAGATACATATACCTCTACATATACATGTTATATATATATATCTACATATTGTGTGTATGTATGTATGGAACTTGGCTAAAATTCGGGTCCTTTTTGGGTACAAGGCGGCGCCTAATTTTTAGCGTACCCAAAAAGGGACCACTACTTAGAGAGCTGACCATATTTCTGTATATCTAGAAATGACTATACATATTTTTGTTTCGACTACATTCCGAGAGACGTACATTAACGCATGTACTATGTTGCCTTTTTCTTTTTAATGATCTGTGTATATATATATATATATGGATACATGCCTCTAAACCTTCCTCCCTTGCACTTTGAGCACCTGGACTGCTTGGAGCTGTTTCGAAACCGTTTCGAGACTGCTTACGACCATGAAACCACTAGACCACGAGAACATTACACCAAGAGGCTTCCCCCAACCACCGCCTCCGGACCAGTAGATCATTTTCTAAACCCTAAACCCTAAACCCTAAACCCTAAACCCTAAACCCTAAACCCTAAACCCTAAACCCTAAACCCTTCACCCGAAGCCGAAACAGCTGCAAACAGCGCCATCTTGAGCTTGAGACTGACCAGTCGTTCTTTAGGGAAAGGACTCTAAGGACAGGTGGCAGAGGGGAGGGTAGATTGACAAGCAGAGGAACTAGTTGCCCTCATATGACAGCACACTCTGCGCGAGGAGAACTTTCCAGAACACGCAGCGGATGCTGCTGCACAGACCATCGGCAGTCGCTGCTGGCCACCCAGACCTTGTCACATGCATGCTGGATAGTCACGAAACTCATTGCAGTTCGGGCGAGTACTTACCGAAGCAAAGCACGTGATTCTTGGTACACCCCTAGAACCCTAAACCCTAAAACCCTCAACCCTAGAACCTAAACCCTAAACCCTAAAGCCCTAAACCGAGACTTGAGGATGAAAGCGCTGTTAAGCTGTCAGGCTGATCTTATTTCATGGATCTCTCAAATCAGGTCTCAGACCTCCATGCACATTTGGGGATTTACGAAAATAGGAGATCCCCAAGAAAGATCCGCAAAATAGTAGGATCCTCTCTTATAATCGGGACCCGGATCTCGGAACCCCCCCATATTTAGGCAAGTCCACATAAGTCCACGATCGCTTGATTCCATCACGTTCCAGCCAAGATGGACCCGACGGTGAACGTGCTGCGGAGGTTCGTGCTGATGTCAAGAGCAAGCCAACACCGTTTTACGCATTGAGTAGTGCCATGGTTCTTGTAAGACATGAAGCTTTAAGACCTAAGGAACCGGCAGGTGGATCCAACGTAGTCACCCCTTGCACGCTGGGTCAAGCTTCTGTCATGAGCACTTGTCCGGCTGTAGCGTAGCGGCCCAGAGACCGAGAGAAGCAAGATTCGGAGATTTTCAATCAGCCGCTTCATTCTGCGAATCCCTGCTGCGCCAGTTCCTCCCCCACTCCTGCTCTGCTTTGCGTCTCAACCCATACAGTCGTCGAGAACCTTGCAGCCCCACATCTCGACACATCCAACCCTCACGCAAATCGACTTCCTGAAGCAGCAACTTCCTGCTCTCGCATTTCGACCTGCTAAAATTGCCGCTCTCTCGCAAGTCGGATGCCGAATCGGCAGGCAGCCATACTCGCAGCTGCGCCGATTGGTTTCAGATTTAGGGCGGCTTTTGAATCAGCATCGTTTCCGCGTCAATGTCTCATAGCTTCCGAACGAAGGTGGTTTCCGAGCTAGCTTGAGTGCAGAGCACTTGGGGTGTATCATGAATTTCCAAGTCGGTGCTGGACCATCAGTGTATGATGGCTGCCCCCTCCACACCGCGCACCCTATGCCCCTAAACCCTAAACCCTAAACCCTAAACCCTAAACCCTAAACCCTAAACCCTAAACCCTAAACCCTAAACCCTAAACCCTAAACCCTAAACCCTAAACCCTAAACCCTAAACCCTAAACCCTAAACCCTAAACCCTCAACCCTAACCCCTACACCCTAAACCCTAAACCCTAAACCCTAAACCCTAAACCCTAAACCCTAAACCCTAAACCCTAAACCCTAAACCCTAAACCCTAAACCCTAAACCCTAAACCCTAAACCCTAAACCAAACAGAAATGGTGTCACATCGGCTGAGAGGCTCCACCGTGGCTTGGAGTGGCACCTCGGAGCGAACACGCAGGATGACCTGGGTTTCGATCTTGCAAGGGTGCTAGCAATTGTTGTGGTTATGATCATGACTATCAGTGGGTTTAGGATTTGGGCTTAAGGGTTACAGCAGAATCAGAGGATTTAGGGTTTAGGGGCTTAAAGGTTACAGTCTTCATGACTACCATACACTTGTCATGGGCTAGGATGCCTTTGAGAGCTCGGAGGGCCAAAGCATGGTTGATGGTTGGTGGATGATGCAAAATCTCCTTGCTCTCTCCCCCACTAGAACGGAGCTACGCCCGCTTTACCTTCTGCGCATCGTATCCCTCAGGGCACATAAGACCCAAGATCAGAAACGACCCGCGGCACCAGATTATGGACCCTCCAGCCGACGCTGTGGAGCTCGCGACAGATATCTCGTAAGGCCCCAAACCCTAAACCCTGTTCACAGGATGTTCCTGGTTCCATGCGCTTCGACTTGGTCGTCAGCGAGGGAAAATCCCTGCAGCAGCGATATGCGTCGGACTCAATGGAAGCTTGTCAAGGTCAACAGAAGCCGCCGTCCCGAAATGTGATACATCCAAACTGCCGACTTCGTCTGAGGCTCCTTAGGGCCCTTTTGTGTCGTAATACCTGCCCCCTACTGTTCAATACTCCCAGTCTAGTTATAGTACAGTATATGCGATTTTTTCTATTAGGGGGTAAGTGGGGGGGGTTAATATAAGCGGATTGTCCGTTCCCAAATAAAGCTACACTTCCGCCCCACCCCTAAACCCGAAACCCGAAACCCTAAACCCTAAACCCTAAACCCTAAACCCTAAACCCTAAACCCTAAACCCTTAGGGAGAGAAATCTTCAAAAGGCCCAGTGCCTGCAGCCCAGCCTCGGCTTCCCGGAGTTCTTTGACGGCCGCCCGCGTCTTTTTTCGCGTGAACAGATTTTAGGGTTTAGGGGTTTAGGGTTTAGGGTTTAGGGTTTAGGGTTTAGGGTTTAGGGGTTTAGGGTTTAGGGTTTAGGGTTTAGGGTTTAGGGTTTAGGGTTTAGGGTTTAGGGGTTTAGGGGTTTAGGGGTTTAGGGGTTTAGGGGTTTAGGGGTTTAGGGGTTTAGGGGTTTAGGGTTTAGGGTTTAGGGTTATATATATATATATAGAGAGAGAGAGGGGATATAGGGTGCCTCATTCCCTCACTCCCTACTAAAAACCAGCCAGCTTTTCGGATGTTCATCTATGTATATATACATATGTAGGTATCTAGTGAGTCAATGCCGAGCTGTACTGCTGACGATGCGCCACCCTCCCCCAAAGATCCACAAGAGACTTGCCAGGGGCTTTGCACCTGAACGAGAATGACATCGGCTCACGGATCGAGCTGTTCTTGAGCTTGAACCTGGAAGAGGTGGGTTTAGGGTTTAGGGTCTAGGGTTTAGGGGTTTAGGGTTTAGGGTTTAGGGGTTTAGGTTCAGGGGGCCAGTGGAGATGCCAGCTCGTGCAGCCTATCGAAGGCAGTCAGTCAAGCACGCAGCATGACTAGTCACCTGATTCATGCTCGAAACCTGACACCTGCTGCAGCCCACCACAACCCACGCGGCGTCTATCCCATGGCGAATTCCGTGAGACCCTAAACCCTAAACCCTAAACCCTAAACCCTAAACCCTAAACCCTAAACCCTAAACCCTAAACCCTAAACCCTAAACCCTAAACCCTAAACCCTAAACCCTAAACCCTAAACCCTAAACCCTAAACCTTGCAGGAGTCTGAAAGGTCACCCATGAAGATCGGGGAGTGGAAGGCAGGAGAAGAGCGCCACAGCTTGGCTAGGTAAGGCACGATAGTTCAGGAGTCGCTATATACCAAAGAAGCGCCTCAACAAGCCCTGAATATCCCCTGAATAACCCCTAAGGTCCCTTATAGGGTCCCTCCTTTCGTCCCTTGAGATTACGATGTACATTGCTCTAGGTAACATAGCTGCGCTCGGTTGAAGGCTTAAGCGGGCGTCAAAAAGAAAGACACATTTTCTCCGGTAGAATTCGGAGCTTAGCTCGCAACCCATTCAAACACGGCCTGCGTAGCCCGCAGTTGGGAGGAGAGCAACATGGGATTCACTTGGCACATCTTGGCGCCAGGTCGCTCGCCCTCATGATGGACCGCTCTCCTGACGAAAATCTAGCGACCGGCTTGATGTTTGCAATCTTGAGGGTGTAGAGTGTCTCGGCGGGCACTGCGACGACAAGAACCTGGTAATGTTCCTAGGACCCACAAGCATTCAGAAATTCAACTGTGCAGCCCTTATCATCCTTATCATTGTAAAAGTGCCCAGCTGTGCACGCTTTCCTGCGGTCGGCTTTGTTAATGCATGTAGTGGGGATCGGGTATGTTTTCCAGCCTGTGATCATCTTTGACTCGGTAGTTCAAAAAAGGCTCTGCTCACAGGCGGCTTCCTGCCCTGAACCCGATGTGTGGCTAGTGTCAAGGTGCACGATGTCCGAGAAACCTCGGAAATAGAGAGGCAGCCTGAATAACGGGCTGCAACCTGTGCCGAAACTGGCCAGCTCTGCACAAGCCTAGCTCTGCATCCGGTGTGCATCTGACCCTGGACAAGTCATTTAGGGTTAGGATGTGTTCAGGACATGTGAGACAGCGACTCTGACACCTCCTAGCAAACGAGCAACGAATTCACACCCAGCCTGGCAGCGGCAACCCAATTTAATACCAAACAAATTAAACAAACTAAATCATTAATTAATTACTCTAATGAATTTAGGTTATTTAATTTACTTGTTTTATTTAAATTGTTCAGTTTCTTGAATTCATGCCAGTAGAAGGATCAAGGCCAGTGAGGAAGTTTCCCAAGGGCGAGGGGCAGCCCATTCTGGCCAAGATGTCGGGCCCAGAGCCCAGCGTGCTTCGGCGATAGGGCTTGGGGTTTAGGGTTTAGGGTTTAGGGTTTAGGGTTTAGGGTTAGAGAGCGACACAGAAGAGTCAGAAGAGTGAAGTCTGCATGGCTTGAGGTCGCAACACCCGCATGGCACAATGGCTCGACTACAGGAGTGCAGGGGTTCATCTTTCCAGTGTGTTTCAACTGGTCAGCCTGGTTTAGGGTTTAGGGTTTAGGGTTTCGGGGTTTCGGGGTTTCGGGGTTAGGGTTTAGGGTTTGGGGTTTAGGGTTTAGGGTTTAGGGTTTTCTTCTGCGGGAACTGGCCCGTGAGGTAGTAGTAGGTGTAGTCAGTGCTGCTATCCATTGGGCAGTTCTGATGCTCTTTCGTGCTCAGTACTCATATGTTGTGGGTTTTTTTGGGTAAGCGTGTGCCCATGAGGAGGAAGACTCACCATCATGAAGAGCTGACGGACAAGCCTCAACCCTAAACCCCAAACCCCAAACCCTAAACCCTAAACCTCAAACCCCAAACCCCAAACCCCAAACCCCAAACCCCAAACCCCAAACCCCAAACCCCAAACCCCAAACCCCAAACCCCAAACCCCAAACCCTACACCGACCATCGCATGGGCAGCTATCACAAGGATGAGTCGAACGCGGATCGCAATCCCAAAACAGAAGTGGAAACCCAAGAGGCCGATCGAGGCAGATGCCCTAAACCCTATAGGTTTAGGGTTTAGGGTTTTGGGTTTTGGGTTTTGGGTTTTGGGTAGCCTTCTAACCCTAGAACCCTAAACCCGCAAAGCCCACAACCCCAAAGTGCAGGGTCCGTGTCACCATCTCCGACGCCCGCATGCTGGTTGGCACTTTTATGGTGCGCACCCTAGCGTTTAGAAGCAGCCGGCTTGGGATAGTCTCGGGGTCGCACCCGAAACCCGAACACCTAAACCCTAAACCCTAAACCCTCATCAGACAAAAGGGCTCGAGAGCTTGTGTTGGCTATAGCATAATTACATGTGGGTAGTTCTCTGGATGAGGGTCCCTTCTTAGGGGGGGGGGGGGTTCCTTATTTATAAGGGTGCCATACCAAAGAACCCGAAAGGGGCCCTAGCCTACACGGCCGCCGTCTTTCTCAACCCTTCTTTCGATTGTGCCGTTTCAAGCAAGTCTAGTATCCCATGCTGTCAATGCGGCCCCCTCCTGTCGCAAACAGCGCTTGCGCTGCACACAGTGAATACCGGTCACCATTCATGATTGTAGGCAAAGGACAGTGACAGTTATTCGCAAGACACGTGGCCCGACTAAAAAGTTCAGGGGCATTCTGTAAACAGGCCTTGGGCGTCTTGATGAGACATGTAGGGTTCGCGAAACAACTCAGCCAGGGTTTAGGGTTTAGGGTTTAGGGTTTAGGGTTTAGGGTTTAGGGTTTAGGGTTTAGGGTTTAGGGTTTAGGGTTTAGGGTTTAGGGTTCAGGGTTTAGGGTTTAGGGTTTAGGGTTTAGGGTTGGATTGAACGAATTTCGCTGACCATTAGAAGTAATCACAAGCAAGGCCAGGCACCGCTTCCCTCTTGCAGAAGGGAGGGGAGTGGGGGAAACTGATATAAGGAGTAGGGTTTAGGGTTTAGGGTTTAGGGTTTAGGGTTTAGGGAAGAGTGTCACAAACAGGATAGGAGGCCGCCTTCAGGGTCTTGGGTGACCTGATGCTAGCATCAGAGTGCTCGCAATCTCAGGCTTTCGACAAGTACATGAACGTAGTCCTTGCAGACTGTGAAGAATTTCGGAAGATCAAGTCCTGCTGGCAGATTTTCCCCAGTTTGGAGATGCAAATCAGTCGACCTAGCCTTAAGTGCAGTTGGACTGGCCTAGAAGCACAGAGACCGTGTGAGACCATTCTTGCAGGTTGCCCCTTGCATCTCGATGCGAATCTTTGCCTGACGAATCCTGTTGCTCAAGGCATTCCGCCCCTCTCGTGCTCATGGCTGAGGCGTTGACCTGTTGCCTGGCATGGGGGATGGACACAACTTGGAATCTTTGGAGGATTGGGAGCTAGTCGAGACCAGTGAAGCTCGGAGCCAGCAACTGAAGGCCCGAGACCTCCATCACAAGAGGTGTGATCAGGAGCACCGGCAGGCCGCCGAAGCCCACCGTGCTCTCCTCAACGCGCAGCAGGCGGCGGAGCTGGGAAAGCTGAGGGCGGAGGAGGGTTGCCTCGACGATGTTCATCGGGCCTGCTGCGTGCCAGGCACTGCGGTACGCCTCACTGGAGTCGTGCTCGAGACGCCCCTGGTCATCCGCACAGCCACGGAACACCACTTCCAAGATGGGCAGAACGTCATCATCACTGGCCTCTCTTTGAATGCTGGCGCCCCGCATTCGGTTGCCTGCACTGCGCGTGAGCTTAGCAGGGACCATGTTGCTCGTCAGAAAGGGTTTAGGGTTTATAGGGTTTAAGGTTTAGGGTTTAGGGTTTAGGGTTTAGGCTTTTATACTACAATAATAAGATGTGGGGTGTAGCCTGAGAGCTCAGCGGGTGTTTTAGGCGGGGCAGGAGGGGGGGGTTGCTTTTCAGCCGAGGCGAATAATAACATAATAATATGATACTTGTCAGCCTCTCGACACATATTCAGAGATGGCTCCAGAACGTTGAACCCTGCAACTTTTTTTGAAACGCTTTAAACCTCAAGCCGCCTCATGAGTCTGCTTATTCCTTCCAGTGGTCAAGGTTGTGCGCTACGTGGATGAGTGCAGGCTATCACTTCCAGGGATGGCAAGTTGCCCCTGCGAACCCGAAGAGGTACATTTCATCAACTTTGATCAGGCAGAGGTCCAGCTCTCCATCTCTTCGTGGGGCATGGGCCGTACTCCGATCACCCATAGCGCTTTACAGGCCATTGCTCAAACAGCGAAGGCTTCTGGGCTAAGCCGTGCGATTGAGACCGCGCTTGCGACCGTCCGCACGGCGTGCGGAGGTGTGCAGCACTGTGCGGAGACCTTGGCTGGACATCTAGAACACCGGCAGCGGCTCTCCGATGGGGGCTCGGATGCTTTGATGCAGATCTCTTCTGCCCTCAAGAACGTCAGTGGAGCCAGCGTTCCGGTTCTGGAGGTCAGTGCTAAAGACCAGTGGGACATTCTGCGTGAAGCTGTGCAGCCTGAACACTGGATCGCATCCCGAACCTGTCATGCGTGCATGGAATGCTTCAAGCCACTTCGGGCCCTCAGGTGTGAGCAGCAAGATCTCCCAGAAAACAATGCCGACTGGAGCTCGGCGCACCATTGCAGGCATTGTGGCCGCGTCATCTGCCAGACCTGTGCTGTCGTTCGTGAGTGTGTCTTTGTCATAGTTGGGTAACATTTTACATTTTTTAGGGTACTTAAACCCAATAAGGAATAAACAAGTAAATTTTTAATATTATCCCAATAATGAACTAGGTGTGCCCTGGCGTGGGGAGTTTCAGCCCGTGCTTGTTTGCAAACCCTGCAAGCCCGTCGTCCTGCTGCGAGCCTGAGCTGCATGTTGGAGCTCACAAGGCTTTGTATATGTTTAGGGTTTAGGGTTTAGGGTTTAGGGTTTAGGGTTTAGGGTTTAGGGTTTAGGGTTTAGGGTTTAGGGTTTAGGGTTTAGGGTTTAGGGCGAACGAGCAGGAGTTGTCAAATTGCAGTCACGCTGAGGAAACCTTTGCCTCCAACACCTCCAGACCTTCAACGCTCAAATCGAGCTGGCGGCCGCGGGTCTCTGTCCACCTGTGGAGACGAAGGGTCGGGGGAAGGGGCCCCCACCGCCACCGCCCAAGGGCAAGGGCCGTGGGCGTGCCTGGACACCGCAGAGCAAAGCAGGGGAAGTGCCGCGCGGCCGGGGCCTGGGCGTCTTGGGCGACGACATCCGGAGCCAACTCAGCCCGGGTTTCCAACAGCTACAACTCTTGTTTCGACCAGTCCTCTGAAGAGCTTTGCCCAGCCTTCACCCCTTCACCCCTCCTCCCCCTCCCCTTCCCCCCTCCCCCCTTCCCCCCTCCCCGCCTCCCCCCAACATCCTTCTCCCTGAGGCGAGCTTGCCGACTTCGTCGTGGTTCCTGCTGTCCAGGCCCGCCCGCGGGCAATCAGCCGACCCAACGAGGCCTCGGCCTGACGCAGTTTCAAGTTTCGATCTTCGCACATGATCATGCAAAATGCAAATAATAAATAAGTAAATACATACAAATAAATAAATATATATATATATATGCATATATATATAACACATATATGTATATATATATATATATATATGCACACATATTATTATTGACAGTATGCCACAATGAACCAGTGAGTATCTGCGACGTCCGGAAGAGCTGAGTGGCAGACGATGGCAGACGCGGCAGACGGATTCCTTGTGAGATTGCCGGAGATGTCTTGCTAAAGTCATGAAGGGTTTAGGGTTTAGGGTTTAGGGTTTAGGGTTTAGGGTTTAGGGTTTAGGGTTTAGGGTTTAGAATTTGTGAGTTGGATCCTGTAGCGAGGTCACCACCATCTTGACCAAGCACGAGAGCCTCAAGTGGCACGTGGCAAGCACCCAAGCCAAAAATTCTGATCATCCCCCGAGTGTCTTTTGTTTTCGGCCTTCACTAGGGGCCTAGTGGCCCCTAAACCCTAAACCCTAAACCCTAAACCCTAAACCCTAAACCCTAAACAGAAGACCAAAGCTCCCCACGAACGTGCAGGGTAAGGATGCTTTTCTGCTCGACAGAGTAGGGGAACAATCAGCCAACCTTAGGGGTTTAGGAACCTAGTATACAGTTAGCGTTTAGGGTTTAGGGTTTAGGGTTTAGGGTTTAGGGTTTAGGGTTTAGGGTATGTAGTTTGAGATGTTCCCCCTTATACTAACAGTTATTGAATAGGGATTCTAATAGGGGGTACTACAATCCCTATTCAGGACTGTTCGTGTAGGGGGCACATCCCAATACACAGTTTCCGTTTGGGCCCAAAAGCTCATGAAGGGGACCCCTTTCAGGCCCAAGTATATACTGCATAGGAACATGGACCCTTTGCGAAACTGCTCATTGTGGGTGTGGGTTGGCGGTTTGGGCTTGGGTGGAACCAGGACTTTCTGATTAGAGTTTTGTGTTTGAGCATGTGGTGGGAAGAAATGAAATGTTAGTTCAGATATGTTCGTAGAACATCGCGGTCACAAGAAAACATATGCAAAAACAAAGAAAACGACACACACTCAGATATCAAGTTTAATATAGGCAGGGCCTATGGCGCCCCTTTTTCAATTAGTCGTTTCGCTGTTGCCTGGAAAGCACCTTTAACCCGATATGACCCGACTTGGAATAGACGTCGCCAGCCTAAAAGTCGGGCATCCTGCGCAAATCATGGGGGGGGGGAGGGGGTGTCCTAAATTAAGCCTAAGCTTTATCTTCAGGGTACATGTACCCAAGCAAGGCCCAGAATCAGAAGACCCCTCATATGCAAAAGCTTGTCTGCCTTGGGACGCCGTCCACTAGCCCACTAGCCCAAAGCCCTCAAAGCACATGGTATCTATGGTGCAGAAGGACTCCTAAACCCCTAACCCCTAACCCCTAACCCCTAACCCCTAACCCCTAACCCCTAACCCCTAACCCCTAAACCCTAAACCCTAAACCCTAAACCCTAAACCCTAAACCCTAAACCCTAAACCCTAAACCCTAAACCCTACATGCTGCGAATCTAGCACCTGAAGCCAAGCCATGCTCAAACGAGCATTCCCAAAAATGGTCGGCCCCCTACAATGTTCAAAACACTAGATTCCTTCTGAATAGGAACCAGCAAGAAAGGGTGCCCTTCTGTCAACCCCCCACCCCCCCCCCACCACCCCCCCCCACCCTCCAACCCCCCACCCCCCCACCCCCCCCCACCCCCCCCCCCCCCCCCCCACCCCCCCCCCACCCCCCGCCCCCACCCCCCCCCCCACCCCCCCCCCCCCCCCCCCACCCCCCCCCCCCCACCCACCCCCCCCCGCCCCCACCCCCCCAACCCCCCCCCCACCCGGGATAGGGATCAAAAAAAAATAAAAAAGGATCAAAAAGAAAATAAAAAAGGATCAAAAAGAAAATACAAAAGGATCAAAAAAAAAATAAGGCCGCGATCGACGACCCTCTCACACGAAACGCGTCTCGAGGCGCAAAAACTCGAGTTTTGGTACGTTCTCAGAGCACGATGGACGACCCTCTCACACGACACGCATCTCGAGGCGCTAAAACCCTGAGTTTTGGCACGTTTTCCGAGTGGAACTCTTGGCTTCCCGGCTTCTTGGCTTGTTGCCTTCTTGGCTTCTTGGCTTCCTGGCTCTCCTCGGCTTTTAGCTTTTTGGCTTCTTGGCTTCTTGGCTTCTTTTTTAAGTCGCAACCGCTTGCTTCGACGCATACGCGTGTGTCGAAAGCCATGATGCGAGGATTGTGTTTGCAAATGGGGGGGGCTGCCCCCCCCCCAACCCCCCCGCTTTTTAAGTCGCGCAAGCTTGCTTCGAAAAATAAGCGTCTTTTTTCGAAACTAATGACGCGAGCATTGTGTTTGCGTGTTGGGGGGCGGGGGGGGGCTGCGCCCCCCCCCCAGACCCCGCTTTTTCAAATCGCGCAAGCTTGCTTCAAAGCATACGTCTTTTCGAGACCCATGATGCGAGCATTGTGTTTGCAACTGGGGGTTTTCTACTACTACTACAACAACAACAACAACTACTACTACTACTACTACTACTACTACTGCTACTACTACTACTACTGCTACTACTACTACTACTTCTCCTGCGACTACGATTACGACCACTGC